TCTTGGTCTGGAAAATAGGCTTAAAAAGATCTGAACATGCAGAAGCCTTTTGATTGTTATTTACTGGAGTAGCAGCGTATCAGGGGTCTGGGGGGTTTCAGCATGACATTTGACATCAGCGTGGATTCAAGGAGTGACCGTTTTGGCCTTATGCCACTGTAAACTCACGCTCACACAGGACTGGCAGCACCCCGAGTGCTTCAATTGTTAATTTAATATCACTGCTCTTGGCTGTGCAAGGCTGGTTGACCAAAGGGAAATTTTTATTCAACAGTTTATACAATAAAACTGTATAAATGCATTTCGACCTCAGAGATTGAGGAAGACTAAAAGGCTTGAACCAAACTGAACCAGTTTTTTTGTTCTCTGCCAGTAAAACTAGTCTTAGATGCTGACAGTGTGTGTAATTGGAGGCTGGAGTTTCTCCTCACTAATCTACTGTTGAATGGGCATCAGGCAGAATATTCGCTCCGCGCCACCTGAGCCTGGCACAGCCACAACAGACACCCTGTGGGCACATGGGGCCTCGACCACCTGGCACAAAGGCTGCACACATATAACAGATGGCTAACATTGCCCCCTGATGGAGCGCGCAGCTGAGGAATCCTAAGTCCTGTCTGTGTGCAAATGTGTGCACAGCATCCACAAAAAAAAAAAAAAACACAATTAGGTATTGGATTATTGACTTGAAGGCTCTTTTTTTCCCTTTACCCCTCAGACCACCCATAGGGAGTCTGCATATGTGTGCAAGTGTGTCTCTGTCATAGTCAATGCCCTTTTATTACCATGCAGAAGCTACCATTTACACAGATTTTTTTAGTTTAAGAATGGTCAGACAGAGCAAACAACTGAATACTAAGCTCAGAAACCAAAGAAAGAATGGAGAATGAGAGACAGGCACTAACCAATGAGAATCAAGAATTTCCACACTGTACAAACCATTGAAACTTCTTAAACATATCAAGATAAGTGGGGAAAAGAAGACTCAACTGTCTGATTGATGTCTGATATAAAATCCTAAAGTGTTTATCTAAACCAAACTCTCCCTCATGCTAGTTGTGTCTCGAACACCACAAAAGGTAAACTGCACATTGAACTACAGCTATTCATTTTCCCGTCAACAGAATTTCCCACATAAGCCGTGGATCTCTGCAGCAGCCAGTAGCCATTAGCATCATAACTTCTAGGATTCTATTGGCTAGTTCTGTGACTAATATCCTGCTTGGTACATATTTCTGTTAGGGTTTTAGTTTGGTAGTGCTGTAGCTGTGCTATCCTCTTTTGATCTAATAATGGTGGATAAACACCATAAACAGCGCTCTGTTAGATTCCTAAGCTCTGGATGCTGTTTTATCACCTAACCTATGTTTAAATGTCTTCACTACCTTCTGCCTGATCTGCCTGCTGTGTTCCTTAGTCTTTATATTACTGCTTGTTCCCTAATGATGTTCAGCTTCCTTTTAACAGCAGAGCTGTATTTATACCAAGGCTAAATTACACACAGTCGGACTCTATTTACTAAATTTGTCTGCTGCATTTAGTTCATCCCTAAGGCAATGGGAGCAGCAGGCTGCACCAGGGTAGCATCGCAGGGTTCTGAATTTTGACCCGGCGACACCTCCAGGATCCAGATGCCCTGCTGTGTGATGCAGCACATTGAGTTTTTTAGGTTATCGTGTTAAAAAACTCAGGAGATGTGAAAACCTTTACAAAGCATGATGTATCTGACTATAGCAGCGTTCAGATGACCTCTAGAAGTAGTGAACATCACATCTTTTCCTTATCACCTCCATCTTTTATCACCGTCTTCATCCATCTTACCGTTCTATCTTCCTTCCTGTTTCTACATCTCTTCTATCAAACTCTGACTCATTAGTAGAAGCTTCCCATGTGAACGTCCCTGAGAGCGAGCGTGTCAAGCAGAGCACAAAGGGACTTCATTAGTGCTCGCTTTAAATGTGTTGTTTATGCCACTGCTTTGTTGCTCTGGACAACCTTGAACATCATTGTTAATTAAAAATAGACTGAAAGGCGATGACACAAGTTATCAAAGCTCTCCAGTCCACCCAAATGACAAATCAGAAGATGCTTTGAAGGGAAAATGAAGGAGTGTACTTGAAGGGTTATTTAAAAAAAAAAAATAAAGAAAGAAAAGATGCTCTAGGATCCTTATAAGTAAGAATCCATTTTTCACACAAAAAAAAAAAAGAAAAGAAAAGATGCTCTAGGATCCTTATAAGTAAGAATCCATTTTTCACACACGGGTTGTTTTTACCTCGGTTCTTAAATTAATACTTCCATCTTTTTTTTTCTTCCTCCAAATGTGCAACTAAAAACCCATTAATTCAGCCTTGCATTTTATGACTCCACGGCTAAGGAGAGTTGCATAGTGTGAGTATGTGTGTACTTAGGGTTTGGTATACTGGTCCTTTTTATGAATATTTTATCTAATTTATAATTTTTTTCGCTGTGCTTTAAGATGCAACTAACAGAACTGCAAGTCTTTATTGTTAATGCAGAAACACATGACAACCCACTTCCCAAGTGAGGTTCCACACACAAATTTACCTGAACCAAAGCGCATAATGTTGCAGAGGGGAAGAAAAAAAAATGAACACGTGAGAACAGCTGAGAAAATAAAGCGGTTTTTGCCAAGCTAAGTGAATGGGCGTCACGCCGACAAATGCAAAGCACTGAATCTTAGTCAACTTGTAATGTTTGTCTTCTTCCTCATAAACATAAACACAGACATGCACATAAAACCCCACGCCATCACAGGGGAACGCCTTATCGCACAAACGGTGAGTGACAAACACACAAAATGCCCCATGCATACGCAAACAGGCATTAAAAGGCACACAAACACAAGGCCTGATTATACATTCATAATTTTGAATGGATGACAGGTCTTGAGCAGCGAGGAGGGAAATGGGCTGAATTCCAATGAGCAGCCATTTACATGAGAGTCCTTTTCTTTATAAACTGAACACACAGAAAGTCTCAGACATTCAAATTATACAAAGGGAATAATAACCGTGTCAGAGTGCATGTCTATCTACCGTACAATCACAAAAACAAAACTTGCAGTTAATACGTACAGTTGTCATAATCATCCATTCACTACAAAGAAAAGGGGGGCAAAGTTGTTTCACAGCTGGAAGAAATTTGTGTCTGTTGTTGGTATAATAAACCCTTGAAAGACAACTGGTGCAAAGATGCTTTATGCATCTATGTGAGCTCTTAGCATCTAAGCAGAGAACACACACAATAACTGACACTGCAGTACTTTTATATATTGGAATAATATAGCAAAAGCCTTAATATAAAATCTTTAGAGCCCCTCGCCTTAAATGCCCAGATAAAAAACGACTGTATCCAAGTTCAAAGCAAATGATGACAGTATGATGACTATATATGAGCCTAGAAATAAGGGGTATATAGTAACATACAAAAAAACACACTTTTTCATGATGAACCTACTGCTTTTCAACTAACTTTTAAAATGTAGTCACTATTAAAACATGTGCAATTTAATATTTACTCCTATTCATTTTGCACATGATAATACAACAAAATCATTATTATTTGTGTATTATGTATTTCCATCACAAAAACCTTTTGGTAACACAAGAGGTTGTGATGTAAAAGAAGAAAAATGAGGACAAGCATAGTTTTTAATCACGACTGATACCATGAAGTTTACTTGACACATGTTTTTGTTTTCTAAAAAGGCGCAGAACTAAATTTTATGTTTTTTGTTCTGATTCACATGAATGGATCCTCTATGAACAGAAATGGAGGAAGCTGGTGGGCTGAACAGTGGAGCCAAAGCTCAACACCGAGACTAAAAGGTTTTATATTATGCTTCTTTAAGCCTTTCAAGGTCACCTGTTGGCACATATGTGCTTAAATAATGCCTTTAGAACTATGTGGGTATTGATTTGTTGGAAAAACATTTTTCTTTTAAGCCCAAATAAAAATTGCTTGCCTTTAAAGCAAACCCGCCTCTCCTGTCTGGGTGCCATGTCGCTGTAGAACCCCACAAAGTCTGAGACCAAAGGCCAAAAAAATGTATTTTTACAACTTGGAAATGAGCTTCTGTCCCAAGTTTAGGACATTAAATGAGCATTTTTTGCAGATTAGCTGCTAAAAGGTCTCAAATTTGAACCGAAACATCAAACTCTGCCTCAGATAAACCTTCCCTGATGGGAGAAAGAATACAGTGCAGGACAGGGCTGCTATGGTAGGCGCTTCCTGAGAGGCGCAGTGTTTCACGTCGATACTTTCCAAACAATTCTTTTTAAACTTTTACAAAATACCAAATTTTGATGAAGGAAAAGCATTTTGACCCTTTAAAATCTGTGGGATTGAACCTTTAAACAGTTTTGAAATATATATATATATATATATATTTTTTTTTGTCATTTTTCCAATGATATTGTATTAAGCTGAAACCTGATAGCCTACTGATGTCTGGGCAACTAGAATTAGGTGGGCTGAGTTAGATATCCATGTTGGGATATCTACAAGGAAATCAAAGTCTTTGTAGATGCTTATAAACATTAGAATTTATAATTCCAACTGGCCATTACTCTACAGTATGTCCACTGTATTTTATTCCACTGTTTTTACTTTTATGTTAAATAATCCAGCTATAGGAGGGCTGACATATCCAGGACTATAGCTGATATTTGTCTAAACAATTGACACATTTGTCATCAGTTACTTTTTTGTTTACAAACACAAAGACGTCAAACCAAGACCTAAGTAACTAAATACTACTAAACAGACTCTGATTTAAATGATTTAATAGAAACCGTACCCTCTTATGATTTAGATTAGCAAATAGCTGCTTGATTTATAGAGTACCTTAACTGTTTACTGTCATAACTGCTGAGATAAAGGATAAAGATCAAAATAAATTACAAGAACAAAGCCAAACATCTTTTATTTTGTAGAAATCGGAGCACTAAAATAAGAATTTACATAATCAGTCCTACCTTCTTTAGTTTTCCGTTGCGGGTACCAACAAACGCCACTGTGTTGCCATGGTAGTCATAGGCAGCCACAGAAGTCATGCCGTCATCCTTGTCTATGAAGAGAGGGGTGCCCTCGATGGTGCTGATTCCTCCAAGAGGTTGGTTGAAGTCCTGACCACAGAAGTTGTCGTCTATCTGTAGAGGCTGCAGGGTGAAGAGAAAACAGCAACAATAAGGCAAAAGTTTTTTTTTTAGATAGCCGCAAAATGTTATGAAAAAAAAAAGATTTCCAGGAAAAGGACAGAAAATTACACAATAAAGCACAAAAAAAAATTCACTAGAACATGTTGAAACGTATCTGTGGTTGATTCAGGCACCAAGAAAGTGAGAGAGAGCAAGATTTTCAGTGGACAACAGTAAGGCTAAGATGTAGGTTTCTATTGGAGCATCCCACTCATTTATCGTGCTGGATTTCAAGATACTGAATATGTGGAATACATGAACAAAAACTGTTTTTGTAGGAACAACATCCATGCTAGCTGCACTTAAAATGCCAATTGCTGAATTGGGTTGCTAATCACACAAACAAACTGACTATACTATACATCATACTGTGGAGTGACTTCATCTAAGTTCAGGATAATTAGAAGAAAACATTTCTGATGTCGTTCTTATATTTTTCTATGTTTCTAACAGAGAAACTGGCAGTTACGGATTAAAACCTTATCCAAAACGAATCAAAAACATTTCTGAGATGCTCTGATGCAGTCCATTATTTTTCTAGTGCAAATTTAATGTGAAAGAACAACATTTGCTGACGATGAGGCTTTGAGTTGTTAAATGAAGAGAATGCGCTCTACTTGTTACCCCTCACTGAGCACCGATTACTGTTCCTTTTTTCTCATGTCAAGTCTTTTCTCTGCTTCCTTGAACTTAAAGCATGCTGACTGATCGCTTCTGCAGGTAAAATACCTATATCTCCTCAGTACTTTAAAAAACAAAAAACACACTTCAAAACAAACTAAATCTATTTAATATTTTGAATCTCTACTGAGAACAAGGATAAGACACCATAAAAAGACCCCTCAGACCCCCAGGACATAGAGCACTTCATCATAAGCACCCCTGGATTCCCTCTCAAAACAGTCCACATGGAGCTCATTTCCATCACCCAGTGGGGATTTCACTGAAACCCATCGTTCTCTTATCTAACGTTAATGCCTTTGATTCCTTTGCCAAACACAGTAAATAGGTTATTCAAATAAAGAGCCATTCATACAGACATTGCATTCTCACCAGCTCCATCCCACCATGCAAAACCTTTTATCCTCTGCAGTGTTCAGTCATGGTGGTGACACCGTGACCATGTGACAATATCGGGAGCATTCCAAAATCACGAGGGGCACATCACCCAAGGCAGTTCATTGACCCATATGATCCCTTAACCAGTCACCACACACTCTCACTCAGCCCCCATAATGCATTAAAAGGGTTCAAGTACCAAAAAGAATCAATTCTTTTGTTTGATGATAAATGACTTGTTAAAAAAAACACATTTTGAACTTTTGTAATTTTTATTTTTTTTTCTGGAATGAGGCTATTATTAAGTTGGGATTTAATCCAACTAACAACAGCAATATTGAGTTTCTTATTGTGGAGGAAATCTTCACTCGTAGATTTACTATATGTTCTGCAAATTATTATTGATAACAGAATAACAAGGTGCATCTCAACAAGTCTAATACAAATGATCCTGAATATTCATTTCATACGCTGCTTTATAGACACACTCCTACCGACTGGAAGCATATCGAGCAGAAAGAAGACCAGCACTGAAACCAAATGGCCGTCAGTGAGTTATTCAGAGCCAGTACACACATACACTTACACTTGGGGAGTGTGTAAATAGCAGTGTAATCCACAGACTTATCACTACATCATCTGATTGATCCACACAGGAGAAAAGATAACACCTCCCTCCTCCGCACACTCTCTCCCGAATGATCTACCTAAATTGCCTGCAGCTCAGCACACGTCAATAAAGCTTTCTTCTGCGTTTTCCCGACATTCTCACTCTCTTTTAAGCCTGCTTCAGGCTTCAGTAGGAACATAGGGGCTCTCGCTTAGCAATGTTGCCATTTGTAGCTGTGAACCTTTTCCCTTTTGTCATGTTCAAACCACAAATGTCACAGCATGTCACCGAGATTTCATATGTTAGAGCAATAAAGTATTGTTTAGTTGGGAATTGGAGGGAAATTGCAACATGGTTGTTAACATTCGATACAACAAAAATCCAAAGTGTGATGAGCGTTTGTGTGCAGCCCCCTTTACTCACACAAAATAAGATCCACTCTATCAAAAAAAAAAACTCTTGCACTGTTTCCGTCAAACTTCTCTAGGTCACCTTTCACCTGCAATACCTACTTTATGTTCCCCAAGAAATATCAAGGCCTTTTCTTGTCTTACCTCCTCCTACACAATTATATCCCATCAGAGGATGACCAACAACACCCACTACCACTCTGACGTGGTCTGAAGATCCTACCATGTATAAACCAAGACATTCAATACAAAAAATAAATGATAGTCATATGAGCTACGAATAGAGGCAGCAATTCTAAAATTGTGAAAGAAATGCGTCAACTGAAGGCAAACACACATGTGACATCAGAGCCTGAGGGAAACTAGTTAAAATCCATCATTGTAGCTCCTAAAACCACTGTGAATAGATTCTACCAGCTCTTCAAAAGAGTCAAAACTCCCAACATCAATACTTGACAACCTAATATCTGTACAACGCTTTATAAAGGTCCCTATGGTTCACATAAAAGGTAAAAGTTCTCTGCAATTTTAAATAGCCAAGATCTGCAAGGAGTAAAAGATGATTCCCTTGAGGGTGGTCTTTTAGCCTTTTACAGGGGGGAATTTTATGCAATTTAACTCAACAGCATATTCCTGGGAGATTTAGGGCCAATAGCTGTGGTGGACGGAGAATTTCCCACTTTAGATTCTTCATGTTATTGGCTGGAGACTATTTAAAGTTCAGATAGCCAATGAGGGAAGACTTCAAGTCTACAACCTTCTTCTGACTTTGGCTGCAGAGAGGGGAAAAAAAAAAAAAGAGTAGTAAGCAAATGAAAAAAAAATAAATAAATCTAAATAAATAAACAAACAACTTTTTATCCAACTGGATTCTCATAAAGTTCTAAGTCTTTTTTTGTACTCAAACAAAACTTTCACTTTAAGAATCTATTATTTTCAAGCCTTAATTTAATAGATTTTCTTTCAAGTTTTATGACATTTTAATTCTGATCATATGTTCATTTATCTGTGTAGCTTGTGATGTTAAGAGAACATGCAATATGCAATAATATTGATGAATATTGGGATTGGGCAAATAAGTTTCACAGTAACTTCACCACCTTACCACAATTTCTTTTTTTTTATTTAAAAACATGCAGACAGCCTAAAGGTGTGGTAGCCAAATAACCTAAAATGTACCACAGTCCAGGCAGCTCTTTGCAATGTGCCCACTGTTTATAGCATTATTGTGTTAATTAGTTTGCAGAACAAGTTCTAGAATGTTTAAGGTCTGTTATTGGTGAAGCAGAAACTACAGCACATGTTAGTCTGACAGTAGCTGCGTTTCCATCAACCATCAAACTGCACAAACTGTGATTAAGAAAAGAAATTTCCTACATGTAAATTTTTTTTCCAACTGAACTTTGTTTATAAAAAGTTTTTAAGCGCCAAGCGGGTGATTTTTAACCTTAAAATGTGTGCAATGCTTGTTTAATCATCAGGACAGCAAAACCATTATTATATTGTTATTATGAAATTATTTCAAAATAAAACAGCTGTATTTGGAGTGCATTCTACATTGCCCAGTTTTGCTTATGTATCAAATAATGTATATTAAAAATGGCTGTAAAATATACTTTGGCCCCAATATTCAGGGCAGAAAACAGCCTTTAAAGCATCAATGGGACCCTTTTGCTGAGACAGAGTGAAATATGTGACCCAAACACAGCTAATAAAATATATGGAGAGCAGCATGCACAAAGCTCATCCTTTAAAAAAAAACAAGTCATGTGTTAGTGGACAGTGGGGTGTTTGTTTCCTCATGAGTGCAGCTGCTTCACTTACTTTTTTTAATTAAAATATAAAAGTTAGCACACATTTCCTTAGAGGGTAACAAAGCATAATTGTAGTTGTGAGGTGGATGAAGGGAATAAATGGAAATTTTTGCATGGGCAGATATAACCCTTAATAATAAGACACCTCATGTTAGTTTAACATAAGGAAGTTGCAGAATACAACACAGGCTAATATACAGGATGCTGGTCGGACACACCGCTGGGGATTACAGCTAATACGGTAGGGGGAAAACATACAAAAAACAAAATACTCATTCAACATCATGCAAATAAATTGGAGTGCCTGTTGCATTTAACCAGTGCTGTGTCCCTTTAAATAACAGCGACTAAATGCTTATATGAAGAGCTGCCTGATGAGAAAAGCAGTGGACAGGACAGGAATGCAAATGGCATAACTATTCATCAGTGTACGCCTTAATCAATGTGCTTTTTTATGATCAGCTCTTCCTTCATCTAGGCTTCTGACACATTAAAGACCAACATTTATAAACACGAACCAAAGTGCCTGCTTTTCTCTGTACATGCAAATGCCCTTCTTCTATGAGCGTTACCATAAGAGTATGTATGAGTGGGAGGGATCAGGAAGTGAGAGTCATAAAGTGCTGGACATTAAAAAAGAAAAGGAAGGCATCTGCAGGAGATGTTCCTCTGCAGGCTTGTTTTCAAACCAGATGATAAAGATTTTCGCTGCACACACCTCCACAGAGGCACCAAGAACATGCAGGTCGATGGAAGGTGCATAAAGAGAGTGTGTGTGTATGGGAACGTTACTTTGCAATCTGGCTATATTTTTGCATTCCTAAATTGAAGTTAAAGCAATAAATGACAATAAATGACAATTCGGGCCTTAATTAGCTAAATATGTCATTTAAGGGTCACTTCCCTTTTTGGAAAAGCAGTAGACCAGAGGATACTTGGTATACATCTGTGTTACTGGCTAAGAGCAGAGCTTATAAATAACCCAGGAGCCTCCGTGGGGGTTTTGAACTTGCAGAGGCATTGCAGGAGTTTCTCCGGGTCCTATAAACACAAGGAGCTCTGCTGAGT